TGAAAAACAAACAAACCTCGCTCTGCTTGCCAAAGGGATACTAAAGTTGAAATCTCGAATCATTCTCCTGAGTTGTACCTGTACCAAGAACAAACGTGGACTACTCTTGCTCTACTTCCTTTCACTCTAGTGGTGACGCCAAGCAAAGCCAGTTAAAGGGGAAGGTCATTACACTCCCACCAAATCATGTTATGATAAACAAAGAAAACAAATCATACACGATTTCAAACTTCAATGACCTTTTTCAACACAAAACACATAAATCATACAAAAAAACTATTTTAACCTTATGTTAAACCTATTGTCTGATGCAAGAGATTTACCTGCATCAATGAATCACTCTCAAGTAGAACCACTCATTTTTGAATTGGTTGCTCAATGATTGAAGGTTTAGAGTGATGCCCTAATATAGTTTTCGTTCTCCTGTTTGATCTGTAACTTGTCGGACTAAGCCATCGCTCCCTTGAATGACCTTGACAACCCAACCTAACTGCCACTGGTTCCTTGGCAGCATGTCGTCTTTGATGATGACTTTAAGATTATGTCAGGGTACATGCCAGTTCTGTCGTTTTGAGATATTCAGGAGATACTCTCTTTTCCAACAACTCCAGTCCAGAACTGTTCAATTAAGCACTGGACTCTGCGCCACCTTTTGTAACGTCTTCCTTCAGAAATTTCCCAAGAGTTACATACTGTACTCCTTTTCCTACATTTCTTTTTCAATCCAGTTTACCAGAGCCATGGAGTATCACTGTGAACCTCAACATGTTTAAAAAATATTGAAAATACTTAAAAGAAATGAGTAATTAAGCAATAATCTTTTCTAAAACATGTCAAATCAAGACCATCTTATGAGCCATTTCAGTACAGTTAAAGGGATAGTACAGTGCAAAATGAAAATTCAGCTATTATTTAATCGCACCACATCTGACTTTCCATTATATGGATTAAAAACAACAACAACAACAAAAACACTGAGACATTCTGCAAAAAAAATAAAATAAAAAAAATCTCAAAGAAAGAATGTCATACAGGTTTGGAACGACATGAGGGTGAGTAATGATGGCCCAATTTTGATTTTTTTTGGGTGAATGATCCATTTAATCAGTTAAGCAAAGTTAACGTTCAGATTTGCAAGTAAAATAGTGTTGTTTTTCATATTATAACATATAATAACATTTAAATGTTATTTTCTAAAAGCATAGGATATGATAGGATATAGTTGGGAGGTTATGACCTGAACTAGAATCATCATTGAATTTTTGTTGTTCTTTAAGGCTGGTTTGGAATACACTACACAACTTTTAAAACAGATTTTTGAAAAGTTGAAAACAGATTTTAAAACATTAGGCATCACTTACCAACTTTGTAAATAGCCGCCAAGGAAAACTGCCATTATACACTAAACGACTGAGGATCATACACTACAAGACTTCAAGTTGTTCCAATCACAACAAACTTGCTAGGAGATGCGTGACAAATGAAAATGACATTCGCTCTAAAAATCGGCTCAAAATATCAAACATGTTTGCTATCCTCTGACTAAATGGGAAAAGAAAATCAGAGTCTGTAAGTAAATCTATCAGCTCAAATTTGCAGACTGGCTCTGACTTTTGGCAACTAGCACTGACTTGTTCAAAATCGTTGTTCAAAAAGTTGTGTAGTGTATTCCAGAATTTATGCAATAATCTATTCATATGATCAGGGCTGGATTGGTAATCGGGCATTTTCACGGTGGGCTGACGCACTTAAGGGGCCGACAGAATGTTTTTTTTGTTTGTTTTTTTTGTTTGCAGGGACAGCGAGCAGCCAGTGGGCCATTGGATTGTCTCCTGTATTGACAGCGTAAACCATCCAATCACAATGTGCTATAGACGGTGTGATGAAGTATTTTGCTCCGCCTATATGTGACCATGGACCACAAAACCAGTCTTAAGGGTCAATTTTTCAAAATTGAGATTTATACATCATCTGAAAGCTGAATAAATAAGCTTTCCATTGATGTATGGTTTGTTAGGAAAGGACAATATTTGGCCGAGATACAACTATATTGGGTTAAATCTTACTATTAAATCTGGAATCTGAAGGTTCAAAAAAATCAAAATATTGAGAAAATCGCCTGCAAAGTTGTCCAAATGAAGTTCTTAGCAATGCATATTACTAATCATAAATTAAGTTTTAATATATTTACAGTAGGAAATTAACTAAATATCATCATGGAACATCTTTACTTAATATCCTAATGATTTTTGGCATAAAAGAAAAATTAATCATTTTGACACATACAATGTATTTTTGGCTATTGCTACAAATATACCCCAGCGACTTAAGACTGGTTTTGTGGTCCAGGGTCACATATAAAGATCACTTCACTCCAACTTCTTCCACGTCTGCTTTTCCCACGCTTTCACAGCAGATTTATCAAGAACAGGCTTGCTCTGCGGTGAGTGATGCGGGCCAAAGAGCCAGGCAAGAGGAGGAGAGGAGAGTACTTGAATCTGTAAAGTGCTTGATAGGGACTCGCAACGGAGGCAGGCATCTAACCTATCCTAATGTGTGTGCATGCCATGAGTGTAGAATACGTAAACACTTTTAATAAAATGTAAATTCATCCCCCGCGCTTTTTTGGCCAAGTCAAGTCAAGTGTGTTCATAGAGGTTTCCATGGGCCAATGCAAATAAATCTAGATTTAAATAAAAAAAGTCATGATATTTTCGGACCTGACGTTTTATTCTTATCCAAAACAACTAGATGTGATTTGAGTGTGATACATACATACATGCACTGCCAGTCAAAAGTTTTTGAACAGTAATATTTTTTTAGTTTTTTAAAGAAGTCTTTTCTCACCAAACCTGCATTTATTTGATCCAAAATACAGCAAAAACAGTAATATTGTGAAATGTTTTTACTATTTAAAATAACTGCTTTCTATTTAAATATTTATTAACATTTTATTTATTTCTGTCTGTCTGTCATACACACTTTCATGTCATTTCAAACCCAAATGATTTTCTTTTTTTCTGTGGAACATTAAAAAAAATATTTAGGGAAATGTCTTGTTTATTGTGTTTATTGTGTGTGTGTGTGTGTGTGTGTGCTTGTTTGTTTGTTTGTAAATCAGTGGTCACCAAAACAGTTTGGTTACAACATTCCTCAAACTATCTTCTGTTGTGTTCTGCAGAAGAAGAAAAGTCATACAGGTTTGTAACAACATGAGGGTAAATTATAACATAATTTTTATATTTGGTTCAACTATGCCTTTAAAGGCAACAACCCTGAAACATTTCAAATTGAAAATCTGTAAAAAAAATGTTTGCAATTTCCATATAGTTCATAATAATTTATTCTATCTTGTGAATTTATAGTCACATTAATTGTGTATTTAATCTTTCAAAGTAATCTTTGAACTTTAGAATTAACTTTGCTTCACTCGATTCCCAGAATCAAGCTCTCAGACTGTAATGCGTTGGAGTTTCTGTACCACACTGCAGTGGACTCACAATCTGTCACTTCTTTTCAGAATTTTTCTCAGTTTGCTGACAGTTTTCTTTGGTAATGGGTCTCTGATCAAGTGGGTTGCGTTTTAACACAATGTGTGGGTTTCCTGAACTATTTTCATCTGTCGAATAATAGGAACAAGTGAAGTATGTGAAAGTTGATCTCGGCTGCTGAATTGGTTTTGTTAGTTACTGTAGATACATTTTTACACAGTGTGCCAAAATTCCGTCATGGAAATTATGTTAGGCATTTTGCAAAAGATAAAAGTTTTTAAGAGTTGTTGACTTTCTTCCTGCTACCATATGCATTGTGTACAGTTCTCATGAGAGTGAAAAACCGTTTCAGCCTATATGTGCACATTTCAACTCACTTGGGAGTCTTTTACTCTTCAGCTCTCTTGCCTTGGTAAAATTATGCTGAACTGATGCTTTCTCTGATTACTTTCAGAGTAATTGCCTGAGACTAAGTGATTGTTTAAAAGAGATAAATGTTATTTTTTGTTTTGTAAGCCACACAGTTAATTTGACTTGTTCAACCAGTATGCTTTTAGTACACTCTAAAAAAGTATGGTTCTGTAGAGGTTCTTTACTAGTTCTATTTAGAACCATATCCTTCTGAAGAACAGTTTTATGCTGAAATTGTGCTGCCTTCATGTGCACCTGTGAAATGACACTGAAGTTGGAGACTGCTATCCGAAACATAACATTGAAGTAACCTAAACAAAATAATTATATTACGAACATTAAACCCAAATAACTAAATCTAAAGTCAAAATAATGAAAAATACTCATTTATATTACTCATCTATATGTTATCACAACTATATATATATACAGTTATTCACTGTATTGTATCACTGTATTTAAGTTAGTTATTGAAAACCTAGACTAAAATACTGAAATTATGACCTGACAAAGGATGTAATGTTTGTATGTTTATTGTAATCTTGGGTAATACTGTCTACTTTAATAACTTTGATAAATTAAACTCCATAGGCCTGCAGTGAGAAGTGAGAATACTTCTGTTGAAGATACTGAATTTAATATAATCCACACTATAGCATTTAGGAATGTTTTAATTATTTCTTTGGTTTATAAATAAACATGTACACTCACAAAATATGGTGTTTGTATGTGTGTGTGTGTGTGTGTGTGTTTAATACAATCACCAAAGTATTTTATGATAATGCTTATTTATTGTACTAATTGCAAAAGTCACATTGTTCCCTTAATACTATACAAACTATAATATAAACATTTGTTATACAATAAAGTTATAATATATATATATATATATATATATATATATATATATATATATATAAATATATATATAAATA